TCACCTTTCCTTTTGATCTACCAACTCCAGTTCTGAATATATGTGCTTCCTTCACACAACAGCTGATTAAATTAGAGGGTCTCAAACTTGCGTAAACCTTGGAATCCAAAGCTGGGGAGAGAATGCTCTTCTACAGAAATTATTTTAGAACACAATACTAAGAAGACTTGAGCCAAGCTTCTACATTAAAAACTTTTATTGAAAACATTCAGCAAGACTTATAACCAAGAACTAGACCTGCAGATTTTCACTTCACTCATCTACCTCCACACAATTAAAAACTGGAGCACAACAGAAGACAAAGTCTAGAAGGACTGGATTTAAACAGGAAATCATCAGTAGTGATCAGCTGACTAGAGTCTTCGGTGCTATATGCTTCAACTCTCAAATTACACTTGCTGTTTAAGACCAGTACAGGAAGAACAAATTTTAACTCCGTGGGCTATGAAGAGCCACCAAAATGGATGCAGATCAACACACGCCAAAAGCTGAAAAGACAGCAACTCATTCTTGGCCCCTCCATGGCCCAGACAGATGTAACCTAGCAATGGACCCATGAAAACACACACTAGAAATACAACAGCAGCACATTAGCAAATTTCAGCCAGCTGCTTAAAGATGGTAACACTCATGCTGGCTCTTGGAAAGAAAGAGCACAGTGCAATACCACTATAGGCAGAACAGATTACTAACCTGCTCAGCAGCTGCCTGGCTACCTGAGACTCCTTCCCAACCCTCTGCTGAGGGCACCATCCACACACCTGAATCACCCTTCTCCTCCACTCCCAAGTCACTCCCATGAATCCCCTACCTCCCACCTTCCCAAAAGCTGCAGACATCAAAGGCACCTGCCTTGAACACCTGAAGAGCAGGGGGCCTGGTGGTCAAGAAATGCAACTCTGTATCTTCTTCCACGCACTCTATTTTTTTTCTCCATCTCTTTGAAAAAGGTGGCAGAGATAAATGGAGAACAAAGAAACAAGAAAAAGCCACAGCTCTGGCCCACACCCTGCCTATTACTTAAGGGGGAAGGAACTCTTCCGAAAGAGGAGGAAAAAAATGTGCTCTGACACAATGGCTCAAAAGGCCAGGCAGCAAACCGGGCCACTTTGTACTGCTAACAAGGGAAACCTAATTACAGGAAGAGGGCAAAGAGGGACAGATAAAAGGGATACAAAATTTCAACATCTGTTGCCATAAAGGGATAAGAAGTGGGGAAACGCAAAGTGTCAGTTTGGTGTCAGTGACGGCATAAAGCTACTTTCAAAGGGCTCAGGAGCAGGAGAAAAACCGAACAAGAAATTAGAACAGAAAACAAACAAACAAAATCTCCATTCTGCCAAAAATACCTTCAAAAGGGGGGAGGAGTTGGATAAAGACTGGCTATTTAAAAGGCAGAGGATCTGGGTGGCTTGCAGGGCACAGTTAACTTTGGTTCAGTTTTCAGAGCTCTTGTGCCCTGCAGCATGTCATGTCATGTCACAGGAATAACACTGTAGGATTTGTGCATTCAGAGTGTTTATAGCACGAAGACTACCATGTAAGACACATCACTGGTCCATTTCAAATGCCAGGCTTTGCAGAATAGCTCCAAGAGTTCCTGCAAAGAGACCTCTGGATTATTCTATCTTATGGAGATGCATCCTTGAGACAGGGGCATTTGTCTTTTAACAACATGCAAGACCACCCCAATAACATGGGAAGCAACAGTCCTCTGCAGGCAAATAACAAATGCTGGCCTTGGAGCTGTCAGTGGTGCATGACCCTCATCTTCCAAGGAGTTTAAACTCCCAAAGACAATAGAAAGAAGAAAAAAGAGGAGGAGGATTCAATAAGGTTTCCTTTTCTCTTGCATGCCATTAAGTGGCTGTTCTGTTGAGCCACACACTCACACTGGCAAACAAGACAGGACGGTCTGAATAGAGAAAGGCAAAAGTGAGCAGAGGAACCTGACCTGCAAGAGGGGCAGCTGCCATCATATCCTTCACTAAAGGAAGGACAAGAGTACTTGGAAGAGGACAAGGAGTTGGCAAGTCCCGATACTTGATGCAAGGACACAGGTTAGTATCGTGTTGCCCATATTGCTCACTGCTCCCCTTGCAGGCCTCTAATCACTGAACTTACAGCTGCTTCTACATACACACACCTTGATCCAGAGTGGGAATAAGTGCACAGCAACTTCCCCACATCTAAAAGCAATCAGATGGCACAAGGTAGCATGTGAGGGGTGAGGTCCTCCACAAGCGCAGCTAGCCAGCTTCAAAAGCATATGAAAAAAATCTAAATCCTCCTTCATTACAGGAGACAGGGCCAGGTGTAGCAGCAGCTGGAATTTCAGCCATCAGAGACAGTGTTTTGGCATTATGCAGTCATTCCCTTGCTTTAGACTCCCTTGACAATTGCTTGTTGCTGCCTGTTGTGGCTTTGATCCAACGCCATCATCTCAGCAGTCAGAAATGAAAGACAGTTGTGGGAGCGGGATGCAGCAAGAGGCGTTTCCTTTCCCCACTAAAAATTTTCTCTACACCAAAACCAGCCAAGCCCTTTTCAAAGGACAGGACATATTTACAGGTGAAGATATTATCCCCTTCCTCTTGGAGGGATGAGAATGGCTGCCCGAGGGTCAGGGAACAGCGAAGGTCATAAATACAAAACATACCATGACCAACAGCGACAAGTATCAGCCGAGGACTTATCTGGCCTGGAACTAAGATGATCAGTACACAAAAGGTTATTTAAGCTTTAAATCCTTTTGTAGCACGTTCCAGATCTCAGCTGTTGGGTAAAAAGACCACCTACCCCAATGGAAGAGAATGGCACAGAAACTGTTGTACTGTTACTTACTCACACCCGCTCCCTCCCCGCCGATGCAAAGAAAACTCCCCTAATGGAACTAGCTGATCCTGGTCAGCACTAAGCACCTCAGTGGTGCTAAGGATCCTGTGGTTTTCAAGAACATACCTTATACATCATTCTACCCTTCCCAATTTTTTTTTTGACAGAAGTTACCTGGATTCTGTTTTTAGACATCCCTGCCATGTTCAGCCTCTGCAGGGTAGCCTCTGGGTCCTTTTGTGGCCACAAGAAAAAGGTAAGCAGCAAACTCAGAGGCCCTGGCTCTGACTAACAGATGTTATCAGGACACATTGAGCACAGGAGGAGTTTTTAAGTCCTGGGTGGCTCTAAGATTTTAAGTTTCCATGCCACACTCTCACTCCTGGAGTCTGACCAGGGAGACAACATTCAAAAGCCTCAAAAGAACAGACAGCATTCCCTACAAGATCACTTCTGGCAATCACTGGAGCATTTGAAGATGGATCCAAAGCTCTGCTGGGAAGATGAACAGTTTATGGAGAGTCAAGACCTGGAAGGACAGCTCTGTACTCCCTTTCTATGAATAATGACACCAGGATTTACATGCTAGAGTCCCAGCCATGCTTCCTACTCAGCCTCCTACCCTGCACAGGCTGACGAGTCGACCAGCTCACACACAGGTCCCTGCAGAGGAAAAGACCCAGTGGCATGGTGCATTCCAGCTGTGACAGGTGAAGAGGGAAGAATAAGTTTGACACTCTAGCCATTTTAACAGAGGCCCAGTGGCCTAGGTTGCCTTGGCTTTTTTATTTGCCTGTCACTCAGGCTTTTACGTTATTGAAAGATCAAACTCCGCTGTGCTTGTTCATTACCTTAATCCTATTTTCTACACAGCTTTATTATCTCTTCAGGCTTCCTTGGGAAAGGCTGTCAGAAAGGCTGGGGCAGGGGGGAGAGGGTTGACCATCTCCTCACCCCTGTCAGATGCCTCTATTCAAGAACAGCCAGAAGACTTGATGGGCAGGGATATCACAGCACAGCCTGGATCCTTCCATCCTTCTGGGGTACTCCAAAGGCACCACTGGATGGATCGCTAAGAAATATGCACCGTAACTAATGCACTGGTGCTCTTTCCTGCTCCAACTTGTCCTTTGTAGAATGCACTGTTGGAAAGTATTTTTGTTACTTCAGAGAAAAAAACTGCTGGTTTAAATTTGTATTTGATACAGTTGACTTAATAATCTACACTGTTTAAACTATAGATTAGAAGGCAACTGGTCTCAGACCTACCCTGTGTCCACACCAATCCTTCTCCACCCCCTTTCCCCAAATACAGCTCTACTGATATCCCTCAGGCCTCTTCTGCCAATGCTTACCTCAATCCTGACAGGACTCCTTTGGATAATCTGGGCCATGCCACTCCTACCCAGAGCATCCCGGTCCTGCAAGGCAGGGCTGCCATTCCAATAATCCTGTGAAATATTTGCTATCTGTCCATCACTGCACTAAGACCCTCAGGCTGAGAGTTTCAAATTTGTCAGCAGTTGAGTCTCACATCAAGATTTGAGAACAACATTTCCCCAGTTGCTAAGGTCAGCACCTTCACTGAACAGGGACTACTCAAAGACCCCAAATCAGAGGCCACAGCAATTAACCTCCTCAGTGCTTATTAGGACAAAGAGAAGACAACGTGCCTAAGTCACTTCCATAGATAACCTGTTGCCACATAACACCTCTCTGAGCTACTGGAATTGCCAGCCAGGACAAGGTGACTTCAGAGCCTGTGTTTGCCTCTGGCTTCCCAGCACCACAGAGAAGTGAGTGAATGGGAGGATAAGGATCACCTTCCTCACCTCCTCTGGCTGAGGCATCAACAGAGACAGATGAAAAGGAGGGTGTAATGGGTACATTTTGACTGTATACAGGTAATGGGAAGAAACCAGGATGGCTGTGCCATCAACTGGAAAAGCTGAGAAGAAAAGCCAAGTTACTGAACCAGAACCATCCCCCACATATGCTTTTCCACACCAGTTTGCTTTGTCCCCCACTCCTCAACACATCTCATCTTCTATCATCCCTTGCCTATACTGACAAAACGAATTATACCCTTTTGCAGCATTTCCAATATTGTATTGTTATTCACTTTTCTTGTCAAGTCCCTCCCTGTAACCTGGAAGCTCACTCACCTCTCCAGGTCCCAGATTCTCAGAGGTGAGATGTGTCCACAGCAGGCTGTCCCTGTCACAAATGAGCTGTTTAAAAAAAAACAAAGAAACAAACAAAAAACACTTACTAATCCTCATGTTCTGAAGAAAGTGCATGAGCAAGACAGAGAAAACAGGTTACAAGACAGACTTTGAATTCTGGTTCAAGATGATTTCAGCATGTCCCACCACATTTCACAAGGGACAGGCAGCAGCAAAGGGAGAGCTGCCACAGGACTCCCACTAGCTGAGTTTCCCAGATGCAGCAGGTCACAACTGCAGAGAACTGGCAGGATATAAAGATGTATTTGTAAATACAAAAGGAAAACCTAAACAGGAACAGCTGTAAACATTTTCAAATGAGTCAGTACAGTACTTAGCATGTTTCATACACAGTCAGTGCCATAAGCTGTAGAAAGACCCCATGGAAAATTTACTGTTATTTCCTACTTCATGTCTCACTTCTGCTTGTTGGCAACTTCTCAGTACAATCATGAACTGGCTGCAGCATCACAGGCCTAAAGAATCACAGAATAGAGGTCTCTGGTCCAGCCTGCTCAAAGCAGGGACAATTCCAAAGCTGGATCAGGTTGCCCTCCCCAGTGCTCAGGCACTCTCTTTTAGAGGCAGCACAGTCTGCTGCAGCAATATTTGGCTCCGTTTACACCCTCCAGCAGGGCCTATTCCAAAGTCCTCTTGGCAATGCTATGTCCCCGCTGCACATGCTGGCTCCAGAGGTCACCTGACACCCACTGACCTCATACTAGCTCATAAGACAGAACAAATCCTTAAAATCAAGCACAAGGAACATGGGTGCTGTGCTCTCCAAACCACACTGCTTGTTTCGTGCCAGCTTCCCATTCTCAGTCCAAATAAGAGGAAGCAGCTCATACAAGGATTTCTAAGTTACAAATGACCTCCCTTTCACAAAGCCATATTTATTGCAGCTACTGAGAATAAAATGCCAAAACTCCGTTTAAGTCAATGCAGCAAGGATAGAATGAACACAGGAAATGGAGCCTGCTTTAAATAAAAGCCATCTCTACGCTTTGTCTAAAGAACTTTTGCAGTATGACACAAGGCTGGCAGCTGAAAGATGAAAGCAAAATAAGAAAACAATGTCATGTCTATAAAAACAGCAGTTAGAGCAGTCTTTAAACATTTCTTTGATCCTCTACAGCATTCTTTCTTTGGAAGTCAAGGTGTCTGCAAGCCTCTACTGCACCAGAAATGGATTCTTGCAGCACCTTTGACTTCTGTGAGAAGCACTACTGCTGCTGCAAGTGCTGATCTACTCAGCACTACTCAGCAGCCAAGTGGTGAACACAGGTTCAACTCAATCAAAGCCAGAGAAGGACCAGATGGAAGCAAGACTGGAACTCAGGACTCCTACTCCTATCTATCTGGTTTAGCTCAGCAGCTGGTTTCTCCAAACCGTACGGTCAAAGCAGCACTGAAAAAACACTGTGCAAAAGAGGCAAGCAGATAACACCAAACCATTTCAAACCACCATGGAGGTGTCCACAAATTCTGTGACTCTTAGCTGCCCTTTAGGCTACAAAAGGCCTGCAGAACTAGAGCTATTTCAAAGTGTCTCCAACCAGGATGTCCTACATGCAACATTCCAGGCTCAATGGCAGTGCACATGCTATCAGCCAAAGCATCTGTAGCACTGAGCAGTCCCTACAGGTGCTGCAGGGTGCTCACATTTCTCTTCTGCATGGAAGTCCTTGACCAAAGTCTGAGAGTCTATGGAAAATAATCAAATTCCTGTTGCTGTACAGCAGCCACCATGATCAATTAGGAAAGTGTGCAGCATTTAATCTTTGGAAACATGATTTCTGCTCAATGCTTGCCTTCTCTCCACCATAGTCCAGGACAGGAGGGAACATTTCTCTTTTGCTGATGTCACCCATCTCAGAGGAAAACAAGCAAAAGACACCCACTTTGACAGCTTGTTGGTCAAGCCCCATGTCTGGAAAGCAACACTTTGGTCAGGAGGTCCCTCTGTTACAAAGTTAGGTGTTGGGTTTTGTCCCCCCTCCCCAGACATAATCCATTAATAACTACTAAAGTCAATTACTGTGGTTAGAAACACAATAGCAGTCAGGGAGTCAGTCAAGCAGGCAATTGGGTGCTTAAGATTTTTCTTTTGGGGGACAAACTGACTCTGTCCCAGCAGAGAACGCTCTCACGTGGGAGACAGATCCCTTTGTGCAGAAGGTATGCACAAGGCTTTGATGGTTGCCACAGGTCTAAATTACCATGGAGGCACACCAACAGGGAGAAAAAGGTGGGAGGAACAGCTAGGTCTAATCCTCCCTCATGCTGTCAGTTCTGGACTTCAGCTTTCCCTCCTTGGTCCTTACCCCTCACCCCTCAGAGAAAAAAAAGAAAAAAGAGAGAAAAAAGCATTAGATAAAGAGATTTTTCTCCAGCATGGAATACAGGCCTCAGGGCCACAAACAAGTCTCTTCTGGGTAAAGCTGACTCCATTCAGTCAACAGGAATTTTGTCTCATACTTCAGTGGGATCAGGTTTGCAGGCCTTATCTTTAACAGCCTGAGCCCATTAGCAAGCAAAGATAAGACTTCTCCCACAAGAGCAGGCCACCTTCACTGCAGCATTAGAATGCAGCATTCACAAAACAACATGCACAAGAAGGGGTACCAATGAGAAATTCCTGAAGCCTGAGAACTGACCTTAAAGTCTGGATTCCAGGGCATGATACAGGGTCCCTCACCTTGAGTCTGATCTGCAGGCACACACCTTGAAGCTTCAGGTGTCTCATAACTGGAAGCCTCTCAGAGGTGACAGTTTTACTTGAGGCAAAAGAGCAATGCAAGTCAGCTTTCATATGTCTAAAACAACATGCAGATTGGAGGAAAGCATATAAAGTTTGGCTCCAAAACTTCTGAAACTTCGTTTAGCGTAGAAGATCAGGCTGAAGACTTCTATGAGGCTCGCTTCTTTCAGTCTATCTTCAACAAGGCTCTTTTGTCTTACAGATCACAGAGCACACATAAGAAAACCCTCCAAGTTAGAGAAGTGCAGCTTTTTCACAACCATTGTTGCCAGCTGCCCAAGAAAAACAGTTCGAGCTGAGTTACCAGCTTAGGGAGTGTCATTCATTTTGCCCACACTGCTTTCTACAGCCAGTCTGAGGAGAGACTAGATTGGGAAGAGGGGAGTACAGGATACTCTACATATAATAATGCAGGCATGACTCATCTACCCAAAGTATATGATGGACACTGACCCTGATCAGATGCATCTACATCCACCACAAAAAGTGCTATGGCCAGTCTCCAGGTGGCCTTGGAGATGTAAAGCCCCTTCCCCACTAAGCTTCCTTCTGTCCTTTGAAAGCTGCTGGCTTCCACCACTACAAGCTCCCCCTAAAAGGCCCTTCTAAAGGGGAAAAAAGCACCATTGCAGGGCGTCCATAACAGGGCATGTTGTCTTCACAGGGATTCCCCTAGGAACTAAAACTAAGTCAAAAACCAAACCAGGAAGGCAAGAATTTTGCACAGCATTAAGACACACATACTTCATAAACAGCCTATTTTTGCTGTCCAACACAAGGAATCTTCCAACTCATATGATACTTTGATGTCCTCTTTCTTATTGAAGACTCCCTTCTGACAGAGAGGAGAGGGATAAACAAGAGGGGGAAAAAAAACCCAACAGAACAACCAAGATCCTGCTTCTCCAGAAGCCAGACCTTCTCTATGTTGCAGAAGAGACATTTCCTTAGACATCATCCCCCCCACAATAGAAGCTGGGCCAGGAAATGAAAGAGAACACACATCCTGGCAGTGCTGTTGGAAGAAACACAAGAACTCTCCATCTGACTGAATTGGGGTTGTTGAAGATCCCATGGCATTTCTGGCAACAGCAGTAGTGCCCTGGCTACACTCCAGCTGCAATAATCCCATGGCTGCTCCCAAGGTGCCAACTACAATTTGACTCATGTAGCATCCCTCTTTACCCCATCCTGGACAGACCACTGCCAGATGTGAACAAACCAGAGGGACAGAGGTAGATGCCCACCAGTCCTTTTGGAAAGATGCTGTTTATCCTCAGGCTTGGAAAAAGTATCAGCTCCAGAAATACAAGTCACATTGAACAACACATACTTTCCTCACTATCAACCCAGCCTCTAGAGTGGGTCCTGCCTGAGCTGGAAATCCTGCAATGCAAAGTCATCGAAGGAACCTGGATAAAACAGGTCCTTTCCCACCTCTTCTCAATACACCTCCCCTGTGCCCTAGGCTTGTGCCCTTCCCTGTACTGTAAACAGATTGCTTCTCTAGTTCTATTCTCCTCTTCAGGGATTTCAAGTCCAGAATCTGCCTGACACGTGCAAGTGCCCATTCCTTCCTCCTGGTGCTCTCCCCCGCCCCCTGGAATTGGACATCGTTGTTCCATTTTGGAAACTATTATATATGGAGACTCACTGGACTGGGAAACAAAGAAGTTATTGCTTGACAGAGTTCTGCAGCTGGGAATGTGGAAGGTGGGGGGAGAGAAGGGGGAGAACCAGGGAAGACAGGATGGGGGGGTTGGTAGCAGTGTTATGAAAGTGATCAACAGAAAGGAGAGCTCAAAGATGGGAAACATCTATTTTAAAAAGTCTCAAGTGAGATGAGAAAAGAAGGAGAAGAGAAAGCAAGCGCAAAAGGGAGACAGGAGAAGAGAGAGAGCAGTTGGTGCCGACGGTGCTGCGGGTTAAACACACGGGTCTGTGGGTTTGTGTAGCCTTTGATTCAGCACTGACACGCTTTGGCAAGGGAGGCCACCGGAGCTGTCAAATCCTTCACCAACGTGCCCATCAATTGTATTCAGCTCTCCCCGACCCGCACTGGCATTTTAATTACTGTTGGGTAAACTAATTTGTACAAATGAAGGCAACTCTGCCTAATAGAATATGCAAGCTCTCTGACCTCTGACAGGCGATGACACAAGATACAAAGGAGGCAGAGGAAGGCTTTTTATCAGAGCCTTATTACTCTCTATTACTCCAATTAGTTAAGCTCCAGTGCTCC